ATCACAAGTTTGAGTTGACTTTCAACCCTAACAGCTACATCGGCACTTCCACATACCTGAAACATGAAGTTACAATGAACGGACACTATGTGGCATAAAAGACTGTTCAGAAGGGCACCATGTAGGAAAAGCGGCAGCATCATTCAACAAAGGCATAAAATTATGCATATCCTTATAAGTAACAACTAGTCAAATATTTTTGGAACTGGTGGAAGTAAATAGTTGTCCCCTGTAACATTAAAAGCTAATACATTTCTACATCAATATAATATTCTAAGGATGCGAAAGAATTCAATCCTAGCAAGAGGCTAAAATTTTAGGCACCAGTGGCTACAAGTGATTGACAACTTAAACCGTCCACAACAATGCACTTCTTATTTCCGATAATGAAACAGATACAAGCTATAGGAACTGACATATCTCAAAACAAGTAGGAAAATAAAGAGGCACATTTGAAGGCATGTGACAGAATTTTCCACACATCAATCACTCCTATAGCATTAAGCTCACAAGATGGATGGTAAACATAGTAATATCTGAACGCCAACAACCTTGAGATCATGATGAACTAAAGTGAAACCAACAAGAGCAAGAGTTAAGATATCTTACAATGCTCAAAGCGCCAACACGCTCTCCGTACAATCCCATGTTCTTAGCATAGCTCTGAGCCATGAGCAATTCACCACCATCAGCAACAAACATTCGCACTGACCGAGCATCTTTGTCAAGACTTCCACTCGCAAAGCCCTATTATGTTAACAAAAATCAACAAATTATGTGATGATTAGTGTATAGGAATCAGATGTGTTTTTGCAATGTCAAGTCAATTCTGACTCTGTACGTCGGCATACTTGGTAGGCACTGTCAAAGAACGGAAGCAGTGATTTTGATCTCATCAGCTGCCTAATCTGTTCCCACTGATCAATGGTAGGATCTACTCCAGTAGGGTTGTGGGCACAGGCATGCAGCAGTACAATTGAACCTGAAGGAGCAGAACTGAGGTCTTCCAAGAGTCCTGTTAAAACAAAACAAAATTTGGGTCAATGACAGAGCCATGACATAATTTGCAAATATAAAACATATAATAAAGTTTTAAATGTTCCTAGCATATTCGCATTATTAAAGCATTCTAACAGATCTAGCATGAAAAATGAAATCCATACCTTTGAAGTCAAGACCACGGGTCGCAGGATCATAGTAGCGGTAGCTCCTAACAGTCAATCCAGATAAGGTGAAGACTTTTGGGTGATTTCCCCATGTTGGTTGGGGATGTAGATAGTGCGCTGGAATATATTTGTATGATTTAGCAATCATGCATTAAAATCGGGAAGCAGCAAAACAGAAAGGAGCAGGAAAAGTTCTTAACCTCATGATAGTGCCTTGCAAGAAATTCACCTCCAACTCTTAAAGAACCAGTACCCGATAGGCACTGCACTGTAGCAACCCTGTTCTCCTGAATAGCGGGACTGTTCCATTTGTAAAGAAAAAACACAATCAGCTCCCTAAATAAAACCTGAGATGACCGATGGCCAGGGAACTTATTTTTATGTAATGAAACTTCAGCGGTAGGAATTCACAATTAGCAACATAACCATTGGGAGCAATTGAAATACAAATATCGCCAATGTTAGAAAAATAAATGAAAGTCAAACAGAAAAATACCTGTCAGCACCAAAGATAAGCTTAGCGCTCAGCTTATTGAATTCAGCCAAACCGGTGATTGGTAGGTACTCCTTGACACGTGACCTAGAAATAGGAAGAAAGTCATGTTTAAAATACAGCTTCAAATATCTTCCACACCGACAGTTTACCGCATGCAGAGGCTTATACACACATGGGCCATAAGGCCAATCTCAATGGGGTTTCATAGAGTTTCATGGGTATTAAATACGATGACATGGCACTGTATTAACGAAGAGAGAGGTGCTGAAAGTTTCATGGGAGTAGAGACAGTTTCACAGGGACACAACTCTTCTACGCCGTTTCCAAAATACGAGTATGTTGAAAATCAAGACATGAAACCCCCGCTGAGACTGACCTAATACTCCCTCCGCCCCCTTTTATCCACTCTCGCTTCTTAAGAAGTGGAACCTACTCAACTTTGATCAAATATATAAAAAATATTAATATTTATGATACATAATTAGTATCATTAGAAAGCTAGTTAACTCTATTTTATAATAAATTTATTTGAAGATATTTTCCGAACATAAGTTTGACCAACGCAATACCATAAAAAGGGACAGAGGGAGCATTGCAGTGATTGCAAACGACAAACCATTCCCCCCACAGACAAAACTGAGGTCAATTTCCCAGGTACCACAAAAAGAAAGGAGGGAAAGCAATAGAAGCAACTGCAAGGTCGACTAAAAGAGAATCTTACACGGCAGTGGGACAGAGCAGACCCAGTCGCAAGAAAAAAAATACTAGTTCCAATCGTAGAAGAAAATTCATTTTAAAAAACTAGTATAGAAACAAAATGTACCGTAGAACAGAAAGGTCACCTACAATTACAGAGGGCAAGTCAATAATTAATCTGGTGGTGAATGGAAGTAGTAGTCAGATTAAGAGGCGCGTTATCCAGATTTTAGATCCAGTGACTAACTAAATCCACTTTTGTTTCCACTTAGGTGGAGGGCAGTAGCTTTAAGCCTGAAAGTTCAATAACCCCCGAGGCACGATCACGAAATCAAGCGGATCATATGGATTTCACATAACACTTACGGATTATTGATCAACATTTGCTCGGCGCGCCTGACCACCTTCAGCACGAGGGGCTTCCCTTCCTGCACAGATCAGAATAGGAACAGGGGCGTCAAATCCATCTCCAATCCAAATAATGAAAAACAGAAGGCGCCATAGAAGGTTCACAGCAAATCCCCAAACTCATCTCACCTCGGTCCGGTAGGCGCCGACGCCGAGGTTGACCTTCACGGGGCTGGGATCCTTGTTGTAGGCGACGGTCACCTGCCCCAGAAACCAAACGAACACTGATCAGCCAGAGCAAACCCACGAGGCCGCGCGATCGCGTCGAAACCGCGGGACCGACAGCGACAGCCAGATCACCGGGGAAGCGGAAGCCAGGAAGGAGAGACGAGGCTGGGGAGACGGCCTTACTCCGAGGATGGGGTCCTCCGGGGCCTGCGCTAGTGCGGCGAAGACGGAGGAGGATCCCTGCGACGCCATGGTGGGGAACGATTCGAGGGTGGCGGAGGTGTCGGCTGCTGTTGCTGCTGTTCTTCGTGGGGAAGAAGGCAGCAGGTGACGCACCAGCGTACTTAACCTGCGGTCGGCGCTGGGGGCCTGCGCCGCGCGCACGTTAGCAGGGGCCATTCGGTGCGCGGCGCGTGAGCGTGCCTGGCGCGGGGCGAGGGAACCGAGAGCGGGGGGCGTGGGGAACGGCGTGCGCAACCCGGGTGCGGCCGCGAGGTCGCGTATAAAACGGCGGGCGTGGCCGGCGGACCGGGGAAGCGACGTGGACGGCTGTTTTTGGAGTCGTGGCTGCGCCGTGGCGGCGTGTGCGTGGCTACTGCCTACGTGCGCGTGAGTCCCTTGTTCGGTGCCGTCTGCCGCTGGTCGTATGGTCCGTGGAGGCGTGGACTACTGGACTGGCGTGGCACAAGGACACTTCTGTACGTATACTCGCGTGCCCCAACCTCGCGAGTAGCCCCAGCGCCGCAGCCGCCATCCCGTCTCTACCGCCGCCGGTCCCCCTCCCTTCCCACTCCGGTGTCTCGCCAGATATCGGAGTTTTTTTTTTTCTACACGACCACGTGATTTATGCAGCTTCACTACATGAATTTTTTTTACCATATAATTAAGATCCAACAGCCTCCATCTTTCTTCCACCTCCAAGCTCTAGCTTTCTTCTACCTCCAGACAATCACAAATCAGAAAATCACAGATCCACATATCACAAAAAAATATTTTTTTTCTATGAAATGACAAATCACAGATCGCAGAGGAGGAGGATGAGAGGCCTACCTGAGCCGGATCCGCCGCCGCCGCCGCCACCGCCACTGCCATGGCCATGGGGGCGAGGATGGGAGGCGGCTTGGTGGCGCGGGCGCGGCGCGAAGCTCAGCATCGCGTCGCCGTCACCGACGTCGGTGGTCACCGGTGAGAAAGAGAGAGGGAGAGAGAGAAAAAAATCCATGTGTTTTTTTTTTTTTAAACATATGTGTGTTGTATAATATTTCTGTTTTTTTAAGTGTTAGAGCCTCTTCGTACCAAGTTTTTTAAGACCTTTAAGTTTTTTCTCTGAACTCTTAGATATACACTATGCCTATCTATATAAAAACCCATGTATATACTTTCTTCGTTCCAAATTATAAGTCGCTTTGATTTTTCTGGAATACCGAATTTGCTACGTATGCTGAGATACATGGCAAATTGGATGTACCAAAAAAGCAATTTATAATTTAGAACAAATAGAGTAGAAAAAGGTTATAATTTAGAACGGATGGGGCAATATATATGGTTAAATTCAAAAATCATTTGTCTTTTTAGAAAAGTATATTTCTACTTTTTAGGACAAAAGACGACATCAACTCCTCAAGGCTTTGGACCACCCATTTTTACACGCTATGGATGCCTTTATCTGATCCGCATCAGCCAGGGAAAGCGTGACGTGCTGGCAAAGGTGAGCTCCATGATATGCAGTTATTGTGGTGCGTGCCGGCGCAAAATCTTTAGTGAACACTGATCCAACTGTGTGCAAGTGGTATAGAGGATTGGGAGATCGACGTCGACCACGACGTGCCCATGGCGATGCTGCGGCCGGATCTGTACAAGAAAGGGGTGGCAGCACATCCTCAGTCATTGCGTCGTCACACCATCGATTCAACATGTATATTTGCAAAATTGAACTGAACAAAATTTAACATCCTTTAGCAGTATATTTGTAAATTTGCAGCACATCCTTTAGCAGTTTAACTGAACACAAAATTTGCAAGTATATTTGTTCCATGGAAGGTATATGTATCACATCCGCCGGCAGATCAACAATGCAGCGCTTTCTTGATGTTGCCCAACGTGCAGAACACCAGACGCGTTAGGGCCTTCACCGCATCCGTCGGGAGCGCAGCATCCGTCGCCGACGAGCCAGCCAGCGCCTGGAATTGGAACACCAGGGTGACCAGCGACCCGGTGGACTCCACCGCCGTCCTGCCCTCCTCCTTATCCTTCCTCGACGTTGTCACCGCCGGCCTGGCCTCCCGCCCGTCCGGCATCACCACGAAGCCGCACGGCAGCACGGCCACGGCGCTGGAGTCGTCCCCATAGACCACCGGCTGCAGGACCGCGGCGTCGATAGTTGCGTACGCGACGGTCGACTCGCAGGGGCTGGTGCTGCTGTCCTGGAGGATCCACTTGCCCCTCGGCTCCTCCGCGGAAGGTTCCACGGCCTGACGCAGTCCGAAAAGCAGCAGTGTGAGCGTGACTCGCATACATGGCATGCATGATTGGAGTGGTTCCGTCGGAGACGAGCTGAAACTTACGTATGCCGTGACCCGGTTGCCGCGGTGATCCCCCTTGCGCATAGTCACGTAGCTCTGGACAGATTGTCCAGGCATCAAGTCCCACTCGTGGCGCCGCGACTCGTCCACCAGGAAGCCGAAGAGAGCCGCAGGCGATCAGCCCCCGCGGCTCGCCGGTGCTCTTCCGGCACATCACCCGGATCTCACGGGTGCCGCCGTGGTTCGACGCCTTGCTCCACGCCAGGTCCCTGGAGGCACCGATGACGCGACAGAGGCTGGATGTCATCCGCTGCGCGAGCTTCAGGACGCTCTGCCTCCCTGACAGTGTGGCGACCCCTGCACTTGCCCTGTGTCATTATAGTACTACTAGGCTGCACTGCGTGCACAGCATGAGCAACGCTTATTTACCGTTGGAGCCCCATGTCGGGACGTTGGTCGCAACCGAGAAGACCACCCTCTCGCACTGCAGACCGAGTGCCGCCACCCAGCGCCTCGCACCGAACGCCAGGCCGCTCGCGGTCACCGTCCGGTACATCGACGGAACCGCGGCCTCGCGGCATTTGACATGCTCAACCCAGGTCACCTGCACGTTCGCACGCCACGGATGAGTGAATCCTTAGTACTTCCACGGTGCATGCAGTTCGGTTGAACCGGCATTGATTTGTTTGTTCGAACCATGTCATGTTCGTGGAATCGCGTTACCTTGCAACAACGGCCCAAGCTCTGCTCTTCTACAATGCATCCTGAGGGCTTCTTCAAGCACATGCGAAGCGTCGACGACGTTTGTGCACCCGGTTCAAAGTTATTGTCCAAGGAGACATCGACGATAGCCCATTTGTTGGTACCAAGCTTCTTGCAGTGGCGAAGGAAGTGCAGCTCCCTTGTAGGTACCAGTGGTGTCAGCGTCTGGACCTCTGCAAACATCTGAAGGCAGCTATCGGTCAAATTATTATAGGCAGACCATTCCTCGATCAGGGGGATTGCATTGTGAAGGACTTGTTGGATTACCAGTTGCACGATGCCGTCTAGGTGATCGTTCTCGCCTGCATGGATCACTTCCAGCGTCGCCGCCTTGGTGATCATGGAAGGAAACATCTCCTTCCACTGGTTCTGCACAAAAGTTCAGAGCTTCGAGATGATAATTAAATCTCTGATTCAGTGTAGTGTGCAGGAAGATTGATGGTACTATACCACATCCACGAAAGCGCCCACAAGCTTCGTCGCGTTACAGTACACAACGCCAGTCTCCCTTGACGTCTCAACCGACCACACTGTTAGACTACTATAATTAGGCATGTAATTGTGGCTGTAATTGCGCCTTAGTGGTAGGCTTGCATGCCACCCATGGCTGCTATATATGTACTCCTGTAAACATACTTGGAATAGATATCAATCTTCCTACACTTTCATGGTATCAAATCGGTTACGATCCGCTACTCTTCCGCAACCTTAGTCGCGCGCGCGGTCCTCCTCGCCGCTCCTGCCGCCGATCCACTCGCCCGGGCGCTGCTGAGCCGATCGCGCGCGCTAATTAATCGCCCGCCCTGCCCTGCCCCTCGCATGCACGCGCGCCGCTGATCCCAACTAGTCCCGATCGCCCTTTGCATGCAAGTACACCACCACCAGGAACGTAATTGCATGCCCACGCTGCCGCTGATCCTCCGGTCCCGATCGCCCGCGTCACTCGGTCGCCGATCGTGACCATCGCGATCGCTCGCCCGCGTCGCTGATCGTGCTCTCGTCGGCCTCGTCCACCGTCCGGTCCCCTTGTGCCCGCCATGCGGATGAGCGATGATGCACCGCCGCCGCGCCGCGCGCTGCTCGCCTCGTTGAGGAGGCCCGTCTCGCAACGACGCCCTCGACAAATTTGAAGCCACCCACGAGGCCATCTGGGCTCAGGCCACCGCCGTTGTCAACGTGAAGGCACTCATCCCCGTCATCCTCGACAAGGCCACGAACACCTACACCAAGTGGCATGGGATGTTCCTCACCGTCCTCGGCAAGTACGCGCTGACCCATCACGTCCTCAAGGATGAGACACTTCCCGAGCGCCCTGCCTGGCTCTAGGCGGACTGCGTCGTGCTGACATGGATCTACGGCACCGTCTCCGGCGACTTGCAGCAGTCGCTCATGATCCGGCAGCGCCCCGCACGGGAGGCGTGGTGCTATCTCGAGGATGAGTTTCTTGGGCAGAAGGAGTCTCGTGCCCTCCTCCTCGAGACGCAATTCCGCAACCTCCGTCAAGACTCCCTGTCAATCACCGACTTCTGCCGTCGCCTTGAGACAATGGCGGCGTCTCTCGCCGAGTTCGGTGATCCTATCGGCGATCGTCAGATGGTCCTCACCCTGCTCCGTGGCCTGAGCGGAAAATTCCGACACATGGTGTCGATCCTCAAGATGCACCGCCCCTTCCCGACGTTTGCTGAGGCACGTACCCATCTCCTGCTGGAGGAGCTGGAGATCGACGCCCGGCCTCCTTCACCACCTGGGGCCCTCGTCACGACGCCGCAGCAGCCGGCCGCGTCTGGCCCGCCCGCACTCTCCAACGCGCCGCACCAGGGGAACCAGATGGCTCCACAACGTCCCCCTGGGGCGCCCAGTGGCAACGGCAGGCAGCGCTCCAATGGTCGTCGCCGTGGTCGTGGCGGCCGCGGCTGGCAGCAACTTCCTGGCGGTGTTGCGCCGTCCGGTGCCCAGGGTCACGCACCACCAGGGGCGCACCCTTCCTTCAGTCAGCCCTGGATGGGCTCCCTGCAGATGTGGCCATATGGCCGCCCACCACCGCCACAGCAGGCCTTCACCGCCTTTCCTCAGTATGGCGGCCCATTTGGCGGCGTTCCCGGCGGATACGGCTATACTGCACCATCCACGTATGGCTACGGGGGAGCTGCGCCCTCAACACTGACGTTCCAGGGACACCAGGGGCACCCAGCGCACCATCAAGTGCCTGCGCCGGCGCCCTGGAACCCCACTCATGGCGGTGCATGGAACCAGGACTCGTTGGTGCAGTCCTTCAACACGATGTCGCTCACCCCGCCACCATCATCCGAATGGTATGCTGACTCGGGTGCTGGCTCTCACATGATTGCGGATGCTGGTACACTCTCCTCCGTTTCATCCCCTTCATCACTTACACCTTCATCTATCGTTGTTGGGAATGGTGCACTCCTTAAAATCCACCGCCAATCTGGATCACACACTTTTTCCTTTCCGCATCGTAATCTTGTTCTTAATGATGTTTTAGTTTCCCCACATATAATTAAGAACTTGATTTCCATTCGCCGTTTACCACCGATAACAACAACTGTTCCATTGAATTTGATCCGTTTGGCCTTTCGTGAAGGACCTACACATCAGGACCGTGATCGCCAGGTGCAATAGCTCTGGCGACCTCTACCCGTTCTTCCCACCCACCACCAGCACCACCGCCTTCATCGCCGCACCTACCTCACTTTGGCATCGGCGTCTCGGCCATCTTGGGCGTGAAGCAATGTTCAAACTCATTAGCTCCAAAGTGTTATCTCCTGCAATAAAGATGATTTCCACCACATATGTCATGCGCGCCAGCCATTTTCGGCGGCACACGACTTCCGTTTGGGACCTCTAGCTCTCGAGCTTTTAATAATTTTGATTTGATACATCGTGATCTCTCGGACATCTCCTATTGTCGATGTGTGTGCGGGTACAAATATTATCTTGTTATTTTGGATGATTGTTCCCATTACATTTGGACTTTTCCCCTCCGTAAAAAATCCGAGACGTTCTCCACTCTTTCCAATTTTTTCGCATATGTTCACACTCAGTTCGGCACCACCATCAAAAGCGTCCAGTGCGACAATGGCCGCGAATTTGACAATTCTGCAGCCCGCACGTTCTTTCTCTCCCACGGTGTTGCACTTCGCATGTCGTGTCCATACACTTCCCAGCAAAATGGAAAGGCCGAACGCTCTCTCCGCACACTTAACAATATTCTGCGTTCTCTTCTTTTTCAGGCAAGCCTTCCTCCGGTCTACTGGGTCGAGGCACTTCACACCGCCACCTACCTAGTTAACCGGCTCCCCACCAAAACTCTCGCGTTCTCGACTCCCTACACCCACCTCTATTCCACCCAACCCTCCTACGACCATCTCAAAGTTTTTGGGTGTGCTTGTTACCCTAACATGTCCGTCACAGCACCTCACAAACTTGCACCCCGCTCCTCTCTATGTGTGTTCCTCGGTTACTCCTCCGAACACAAAGGCTACCGGTGTCTGGAGCTTCAGTCGAACCGCATTCTTATTTCTCGCCATGTCATTTTTGACGAATCCTCCTTCCCTTTCGCCAATATGTCTACCACGCCCATGGCATCCTCCGCCTTGGACTTCCTTCTTGATGAGGATGATCTTACCGCTCCGGTTCCTGGAGCTCCGTTTGTGCATGCAGGTACACCAGCCAGCCCGGCGTCACACCGTGAGCTGTCCCCTGTGCCGGTGCCCTCCTCCCCCACTTGGACGGGCACTGGACCGGCGACGCCCGGCGCATCGCCTGGCCCCAGCGGCGCTGCTGCCCCTGTGTCACCCGCACAGGCTGCTGCCAGTAGCGCCCAGCCTGCCTCGCCACCTGGGAGCCCCCGGTGCTGCTACCCCCGTGCATCCCGCGCGGGCCGCTGCCAGCAGCACCACCGCCACCGGCCGCACAGTGGCCACTCGGCCAGTCTCCACCGCCCCCGTCGACAATGCACATCCCATGCGCACGCGCGGCAAATCCGGCATCGCCCAGCCTGTGGATCGCCTGAATCTCCATGCTGTGGCCATGTCACCACTGCCTCGCTCCGTTCGTGATGCCCTGTCTGATCCACATTGGCGCGCTGCTATGCAAGCTGAGTTCGATGCATTGATCGCCAATGACACCTGGAGTCTTGTGCCACGACCTCCTGGTGTTAATATGGTTACGGGCAAGTGGATTTTTCGTCACAAACTGCACGCAGATGGTTCTCTTGATCGCTACAAGGCTCGCTGGGTTCTCAGGGGTTTCACACAGCGGCCTGGTATTGATTATGATGAGACTTTCAGTCCGGTGGTCAAGCCCGCGACAGTCCGTGTGGTTCTCTCTCTGGCTCTTTCTCAGGACTGGCCTATTCACCAACTGGATGTGAAGAATGCGTTCTTGCATGGTACTCTCACAGAGACAGTCTACTGCGTTCAGCCGACAGGTTTTGTGGATTCCTCTCGTCCTGATTTTGTTTGCCGCCTCAACAAATCACTGTATGGCCTGAAGCAGGCGCCGCGTGCTTGGCATCAACGGTTTGCTTCTCATCTTATTTCACTTGGATTTGTTGAAGCAAAGTCAGACACCTCACTCTTCATATATCGTCGAGGAGCCGATACTGCCCTGTTGTTGCTCTATGTGGATGATATTGTTCTCACTGCTTCCTCTGCTGGTCTTCTACAGCATGTTATTGGGGCCCTTCAGCGTGAGTTTGCTATGACAGATATGGGTCAACTTCACCATTTTCTGGGTATTTCAGTGGCACGCTCTGCTAGTGGGTTATTTCTATCTCAGCGACAGTACACACAAGATATTTTGGAGCGAGCCGGGATGAGTGAGTGCAAGCCATGCAGCACCCCTGTTGATCTACACTCCAAATTATCTGCAGCGGGATCTCCTGTCGCTGATGCCACACAGTACCGCAGCCTAGCCGGCGCCTTACAGTATCTGACTTTCACCCGTCCAGACATTGCTTTTGCTGTTCAGCAAGTATGCCTTTATATGCACGACCCCAGGGAGCCTCACCTCACGGCTCTCAAGCGGATTCTGCGATATCTGCAAGGTACTCTTTCACTTGGCTTGACTATGCGCCGCTCGTCACCTACAGACCTCGTTGTGTACACGGATGCAGACTGGGCTGGCTGTCCGGATACCCGTCGCTCCACCTCCGGCTATGCAGTGTTCCTAGGTGACAACCTGGTGTCCTGGTCCTCCAAGCGCCAGCACACCGTCTCGCGGTCCAGCGCCGAGGCTGAATACCGAGCTGTGGCAAATGGTGTTGCTGAAGCTACCTGGCTGCGACAGCTGTTGATTGAACTTCACCATCCTCCTCGCCGAGCCACCGTGGTCTATTGTGATAACGTCAGTGCCGTATATCTCTCCAGCAACCCAGTGCAACATCAGCGAACAAAACATGTTGAGATTGATCTCCACTTTGTTCGAGAGAAAGTTGCCCTCGGTCATGCTCGAGTTCTTCATGTACCTACAACATCACAGTACGCAGACGTCTTCACCAAGGGTCTTCCTACCTCGCTTTTCCAGGAGTTTCGGTCCAGTCTGACCGTTAGCGATGCTCCCGATTAGACTGCGGGGGAGTGTTAGACTACTATAATTAGGCATGTAATTGTGGCTGTAATTGCGCCTTAGTGGTAGGCTTGCATGCCACCCATGGCTGCTATATATGTACTCCTGTAAACATACTTGGAATAGATATCAATCTTCCTACACTGGAATAGATATCAATCTTCCTACACTTTCACACACGCCCCGCCGGTCGCCGGAGTCATCGTCGTGGTGCCGGAACAAGCGCGCGTACTCGTCGCAGCTCAGGACGTCCCGGCCGGTCTCGACGCTGCGCACCCAGAGTGGCTGCCCGGAGGAGCACATCGTCGTCAGCTCGTCCAGCGCGCGGCCGGCAAGCTCCAGGAACTTCGTCTTGTCGTGGTCAACGTCGTCCAGCGAGCTCCTGCTTCTGATCTGGATGCCCCACGTAGAGCATGACGGCGAGGTCGAGAAGGCGGCTGCGTTGTTCCCCCTGCGGAGCCTCTCAATCTGTTTGGCACGGTGGTGTTCCACGCCCGCCGTGTGTCAGTGTATGCAACCACGCGCAGGGGCTAAAGAGTTGAGTTGGCAAGATGGCGGCGCATACAAACCTAGGCTTTGAGCTTGGCGTTCTCCAGGCGCAGCAGCTGCCCTTGGCTGCGTAAGGATTTCTTGATGAGCTCTCGCATGACGCGGTTCTCCTCCCGGAGCTTCTCCAGCTCGGGCTTGAGCAGCGAGTTCTCATGCCGCTCCTCAGTTACCTGAACATACGAAGCAAAGAAAAAAAAAGTACTGTAATAGTCTCCATGACGCAGTGCAATCAGAGGTGCAGTGCAGCGATCGGCATGCATGTAGTGCGTTAAGCTAATTTACCTTGGTCTGACATCGCCGGTTCTGGAACCAAAACTTCACTTGGCTTGCAGAGAGGCCGAGCTGTTCGCTGAGCTGCTGCCGCTGCTTCTCGTCAGGATGCGGCGATTCTTTGAATGCTTTGGTCATTTGATCAAATTCAGGAAAAAAAAAACACATCACTACCAAAAAAACACAGCACATTGGAACGGAGAGACAATGGTGACACGAATCCATGGCGGCTCTGAGTCGTCTTCCTCTCCCCCAAACATTCTCACACCAATCTCTCACGTCTACCGCAGTCTACTCCTCAGAACATTCCTCACAAGATTCCTCCTCATCCTCATGAGATTTCCCATCGTTGAGCGAGGCCTCACGACAGAGGATGACGAGGAAAGGTTATGAGTTCTTGTTTGTTTCCACATTGCATGAATTCAAACACACAGTGTTGGTTATTTATTGGGCAACCCAGGAGAAAAATAAACTGAAATTTCTGTCTGAGCAATCCAAATTCTGTTCAAATAGTATTGAACCTATCTTAGCTAGAGGAGACCTTAATATAATTATATATGCTAAGAAAAGAAATAAGAACAATGGCGTCCATAGATATTCTGGGATGTTTACCCTTATCCACTTCCATGAGACTGATGGTTTATTCACATGGTCTAATAATCAGGACTTTCCAACTTTAGAAAAATTGGATAGAATTTTAGTCTCTGAAGAGTGAGAAGATAACTTCCCATATGCTATTGCTAAAAGGCTTCCTAGAGAGGTATCTGACCATAACCCTCATATCATTTTCTCTGGTAAATCTGTAAAGCATATACACTTCATATTTTATTAGTTGAGTTGGCTGAATAATCCTGATTTTCATGATTTAGTGAAAAAGTTATGGTCACAACCTTGCAAAGCAAAACCAGCTTTGGATAAGATTCAGTAGAAATAAAACTATTTAAACAATACTTCAAAGGTTGGGGCTTTAATTTGTAAGGTGATATAAGGACGAGAAGGAAAGACATTCAAAAGGAATTAACAAAACTGGAAAATACTAAAGAAGTAAATGACTTAGTAAATGAACAAATAAAAAGAAAATCATGGTTGCTTAGTGAAAATCTAAACTTACTAGAACAAGATGAGTTATATTGGTAGAATACGAGTCATGATAATTGTTACTTAAATGAGATCGTAATACTAGTTTCTTTTCATAAGATTACTAGTGGAAGAAAAAGAAAGAACTCATTTTTAATTCTAGAAAGAGATGAGAATTTAATTGAAGGAGACAAATTTTGTTAACACATGTCACTTGATATTACACTAAACTATTTGGCCCTACCCTTGAGTTCAATATTCAAATGAACAACAACATCAGGGATGAGATCGAGTAGTCATCTGAATAAGATAATGAAGATCTATGTAGACCCTTCTCAGAATCAGAGACTGTAACACCCCGGTGTTATGCCTGCATTTAGGCACTGCAAATCATACATATCATGCATCATCAAGCATCCTAATCCTACATGCATAATCATGTAAATAACAATTGAAACACTGCTTCGAACCATCTGAAACATGTTGTGAAACCTGAATGTTGCATACCTTTGTTAGGATTGTTTTGCCCTGATTTTGCTTGCTAGGTTAGTAAAACATGTTTGGCTACTATTGTAAATCATCTAGGATTTTTTAGTTCAATTTTTGGAGCAAGGTTTGTATTCAAATTAATTCAAAATTTTGCTTCCAAAGTAATTTCCCAAAAATTAAGGTTTTGAGTTAAACATGGACTTTGATTTTTCAATTCAAAATCTAGAAAGAATTTGGCTTTGGTCATAAAAGCAAAGTTGTAGAGAATTAAATTCTAATCAACTTTTATTTTTGGTACATTTTCAAAAGATGTCATTTTCTTGCTCAAAATAATGTTTGAAAGTTGGCATTTAAAAATTCTTTGAAAATACAAATCAAAAAGGGCTTTTTCTCCTTCGCGGGCCGCCGCCTTGCTCCTGGCCCACGGCCGAAGCCGGCCCAGCCAGCATCCCACAGCGCCGCGCGCCTCGCCTCGGCCCAGCCCAGCCCAGCGCCGCGCTGGCCTACCTCCGCGCGCCTGTCCGCTGACGCGCCACGCCGCGCGCCCGACCGCGGCAGAGCTTGCCCGCCGCGTGGCGGCCATGCGCCGTCGACGCCGCCGCGTGTCGCAGCCGGCCTGTGCCCGCGCCCACGCGCCCGCCTATTCCTGCCGAAGCCGGTGCGCTCGCTCGCTCACTCCCGCGCTGCTTCTCCTCTCCGCGAGCACCGCGCGCACTCGCTCTGCCTCTCGCCGCGCCACCGCACCCGCCGGCGAAATCCGCCGTGGCTCCTCCACCTCGGCCAGCAATCACGCGCCCGCAGCTCCGCCTCGCTCTCCTTCAAGTCGTGCTCGCGTTTGCGCCGACTGCCGAGCTCAGGTAGAGCCGTCTCAAGCCCCGCCACCGTCGGCCATGGCGCCGCCGTGCTCGGCCGCCATGGAAGACACCTTCCTCCTCTTCTCCAACCCCGCCTAGCTACCCTCCCGCCTACGCCATCTTCTCGCGAACCTCGTGCTCCCGCTAACTCGCCCTGTCCCGACTGGCAATGGCCGCCGGCCTCGTGGAAAAGCCGCGCCGCCGCGACGTCGCAGCGCCGGCGTGGCCTCTGCCTCAGCCAAGCCAGGCCGTGGGCCGACGCCCTGCCGGGCCGTCTCCCCCTTCCTTGCGCTCGGGCCGCGCAGGCCAAATGTGGCCGTGGGCCAGCTGACTCCAGCGGGCTGGCCCAGTAGCAGTAGGATAAATTGTTTTCAATTTATTCTTTATTATTTGAAAATAGAAATGGTTTGAAAAATGTTTGGATACTCAAAATTGCTCCAAATCTGTTCAAATCAATTTGTCTAGGTTCCTTATCACCAGATCTACTTGGAAAAATTATTGCATGTCATTTTTGGGATACTTTTCTGTAGAACTTTATTTAATCATGTATATTGCTGATAACTTGAAAAATGTGTAGAAAAATCTATAGGCTTCAGAAAAATATGATTCCAAGTTTGTTAATCTTCTTATGTAATGTACATTCTAAGAAAAATATGTGTCACGCTTGTGCTGTAGAAAAATTTTGAGGTGTAGTTCAAGTGCCTTTAGTGGCTGATTTTTGTTATTTTAGCAAGAGAGCAAAATTTGTATAAAATATGCATGTGATAATTTTTGTACAGTAGTTGTATGCTATGAAGAACATAGGAAAAATACTAACTCTGTTGTTTAACACTTTTCACAGTACAAAGTATTTTTATGTTCATAATCATGCAATAGCTTGTTATTTTTGTGTAGGCTAACCCACTCATTCAAACATCATGAAAATCTGATGGTAGACTACTTAGGGTAGTAATGTGCTATGGTAATTTTCTAAGATTTTTCTAAGCAATAAAAATAGAGGTTGCTATTCAAAACTATTATTAATTAGGGTTTAATTAAGGGTTGCTTTATGTGTGTTTAAGAAATTAGTAAAGCTTTGGTGTATCTTTGAAGCATTTAATAAGATATGTTGACGTAACATATTAGTAGTAGAAGAGAATGCAGTAGATGACATGTGCTTGTAGTATATTTTCTTGGATGATGTTGACTACCTTGCATTCAAACATATCCATTGTATTCATCTCATCTTATGCACCGATTGCATAAGCACTTACGCATATTGCATCATATAGGATCGCAAACCGAGAACCCAGTCATCATACCCGAGGAGCACGAGGAGTAGTTCGAGTGCAAACACATGAGAAGTGCCGTGGTTTACGAGGAGGACGTTGAGGAACTTCGGAGTGCCCCGATCACCGTCCCGAGCTCCTTCGAGAGAGGCAAGCCCCGGAGCATTTTTCTCCCGGTTTGCAATGATTAATTAAATGCTTTACTTTAATTGATGCATTACGTTCAGGAGTTGTTTGCAACCGTTGCTGCATTATACCTTGTTTACCTTTATTATACTATATCCTTGTTACCCTGGTATCCGCAGTCGAGTCAATGCTTAGCTGGCTTAGACCGGTAGAAGTCGGGTGATTTCCTGTCACCTGCGAGCTATAGGTGGTTACTGGATCGCTTGGATGACTATGAAGTCATGGTATAACTAAGTGTTAAATGAAGTTGAGACAGGACGGAGACTTGCAGAGTTTTGGACTGTAGTGTTTCCGTCTGTGTTGATTAAGGACCGACCGTTGTTGGGCCTCGAGTCATGTTGAATGCATGCCTTACATTTAGCTGGCCGGATAAAGTACCTTCCGACCGCTTGAAGTGGGAGATTTTTTTGGCCGAGTAGATTGCCCATGGCAGCCTTTGTCGTGGCTTGAGCGGTGTGGTAGGACACGGGGCGAGATGATAAGACCAAAGTGCGGTCGGTCGGCCCCCGGGTACATGTGGTTCCTGGCAAACTCGAGATACCTAGAAAGTTGACTCGGTGATCAATATCTCACTTTAGCGGGTGAGTGAGGTTTGTGTAAGGAATAAATCACCAGCTGGTTAGGAATCGATTCGAATCATCATCGCTCCTGGATAGTGAGCACTTGACTTGAGTTACTTCATCGTAGTAAATGTTTATGGAACACTTGGACAGTTATAGTGGATATGACAGTATGGAAGTTGTTTAATGATCATTTGTTATCATTATCCGCTTAATCATATGTTTGCTCTAGTTTAGGTGCAAATCTAGTCGACAGGTTAATATTAATTTACTTGACAATAATGCTTTTAGAAAGGTTCTTGAAATGCTAAAAATGCTTCTTTTGCAAATGAGTCAGCTACCCTACTATAAAGTCCTTCATAATCCTTGGTGTCATTTATTTTTTTCGGTTATGTCGGGTAAGTCTAATGAGTACCTTCTCGTACTTAGGGTTTTATTCCCACTTGTTGCGAGATGGGCGGATGTATTACGACCATTGTATCAACCGCCTTTATCCTACGATGGGTGATGCTTAGGACCATGGGCATGGTCATTCCTTACGTCTCGTCTAATGCTTTTGTTGGAGATGATCATTCGCTGGCACTATATTTGAACTCCGCGTGAGTGTGTGTGTGGTTTGAACAAATGGCTTCCGCTACTTTTTATTCGAATGGTTTTGTAATAACTATGTTGAAACTCGATGTATCCAAATTACGAACTTTTAT